AAATGGAATAAACAGTAGACTGGATCACATAGGCATCTGGAATTACTCAAATCTTATACTCAAATTTCTTATCCCAGCTCCCCTTCTCCCCTAGCTCCCACAATGAACCATTATACCTCTAACTTCCATTTGAAAGTACTATGGTTATTCCTAGTGAGCAGAAAGCACAAAAATTACAAACCAAGGACCCAAGAACTAAAAGGCAGGAAGAACACTTACATCGATGGTTTTATCACTGAAGTATTTGATGTATTCAGGGCCCATATACAGAGGAGGTTTGCAGGTCATCAGAAACACTGAATACAGAAAAAAAGATGTCAGAGGGAAAAGCTTATTAGGCCTTACTTAGAGGATTTACTTTTAGACCATCTCAAGAATTTAAGTCACTAAAGAATCATGCCAGGCACTGGTGGCTCATGCCTGTAATCCTGGCTACTCAGGAGGCTGAGATCTGAGCCGAGGTTCAAAGCCAGCCCCAGCAGAAAAGCCCTTATGAGACTCATCTCCAATAAACCACTCAAAAACTGGTAGTGGTGCTGTGGCTCAAGTGGTAGAGCACTAGCTTGAGCACAAAGAGGCTCAGGGACAGTGCCCAGACCCTGAGTGCAAGCCCTACAATTGACACCCCTCCCCACCCCCCCACTGACAGTCCCCTCCTCTTAAAGAATCAGGTGTTAGTTCTCGAAATGGGTAGAGTAGGTCAAGGGGAAAAGGATTGATGAGCAAAGAGAAGAGGGAAAAAATGCAGACTAGAATCCAATGTACATCCTCGAAAATTAAGAAGAGTGAAGGGAAGGGTGGAGTGAGAATGTTGAAAGGGGTGACACTGATCAAGTTATATTGTATCCATAAACCACTTTGCTAAATGGCAACTCTTTTGTACAATTACTTAAGTATAATAAAGTATAATAAAGCCAGGCACCAATGGCTCATGTCTGTAAACTTAGCTACTCAGGAGGCTGGGATCTGAGGCTCAAGGTTCAAAACCAGCCCAGGAAGTAAAATCTGTGAGGATCTTATCTCCAATAAACTACCAAAAAAGCCAGAAGTGGAGCTGCAGCTCAAGTGGTATTGTGCTAGCCTTGAGCAAAAGAAGCTCAAGGACAGCACCCACGCCTTGAGTTCAAACCCCAGGACTGGGGAAAAAAAGAAAAGAAAGAAGAAAAATAAAAATAATGAAAAGAGAGAGAGAAACTATTTTGAATAGGAACTTGGTCCAATTAAGTCTTTTGTCAAAGAATTCATATAATAAAGTTCTTTGCAAAGAACTCATATAATAAAGTCAAGTTTCCTCACCTATGCAGAGTGTGATGTAAAGAAGTCCCATTCGAATATCCAGGCGGAAGAAAAGAATTGCATTTGCCACTTTACTAAACATGAAGATGTTGCCTACATGTTGCTCCACGGTGACTGAAACAGAGAGATATACCATAGGTCAGGCTGACATAGAAGAGGGATGTATGGGATAGGACTCAAGAACAAATTCAGCCTTCGCATACAGTGTAGGTCTATGTTCAGCAAATAATTTCCTTCTAATGACAAAAAGCACTTCCAGAGGGCATTAGGTCTTAGTCTGATAGACTAAGAAAAAGATTAGACTTACTGGATCTTCTATTCTTCATCATCACAATGGCGCTGAGAAACATCAGGATCTCTACTTCTCTCTGGAACAAAATCAGTAACAGGAATGCATTAAACAGAGCTGATAGGGAAAAAAGGGGGTAAGTGATCCAAATATGGAATAAGACAACAGAGATCCAAATAGGGAATGGTGATAATAAAGAAGGAACTGGAGTTGGCTAGGGTGTAGTGGGGAAAAAAAGTCAGAAGGGACAGGCAAATCACTTAACCCCTGAGCTTTGGTTTCTTTTCTCTCTCTCTCTATGCCTTTCCATTTTTCTTTTCTGTTTTTTGTTTTTGTTTTTTTGTCAGTCTTAGAGCTTGAACTCAGGGCCTGGGCACTGTCTCTGAGCCTCTTTGTGCTCAAAGCTAGCACTCTACCATTTGAGCCACAGCTCAAATTGAGTAAGTCTCATGGTGACTCTTCTGCCTGGGCTGGCTTCAAAACTGAAATGCTCAGATCTCAGCCTCCAGAGTAGCTAAGATTACAGATGTGAGCCCTTGGCACCAGGCTCTCTTTTCCTTATTTTTTTGGGGGATCCAGTCATGGGGCCTGAACTCTGCGCCTGGGCGCTGTCCCTCAGCTCTTCACCTCAAGGCTAGCTCTCTACCACTTGACTCACAGCGCCACTTCTGGCTTTTTTTTTTTCCCTGCTTATGTGGTGCTGAGGAATCGAACCCAGGGCCTCATGCATGCAAGGCAAGCGCTCTACCATGGAGCCACCTTCCCAGCCCATCTCTTTTCCATTTTTGAGCCAAGATCTCATATATGGCTCAGGCTGGCCTCACTCCAACTCCCAATCCTCCTGTCTCTACCTCCTAAGCACTGGGATTACAGCCTTGTACCACCATATCAAACAGGTTTTCTTGACTAAACACTATTTCTAAGTGCTACTGATTGTTTTTGCTCAAAGCTAGCTAGTGCTCTACAACTTGAGACAGAGCTCTACTTCCAGATTTTTTGTGACAAACTAGAATTACAGTCTCATGGACTTTCCTGCTCTGACTGCCTTTGAACCTCCACCCTCAGATCTCACCCTGTACGTAGGATTATAGGCATGAGCCACCAGTGCCCAGCTGGCTAAAATAACCTTTACACATAAAGATGCTTTTGTTTCCACTTTGTCTTCTAATGCTGGGGATGGATACTAGACTGGTACTCTACTACTGAGCTATACCCACATCCTCGTTTTTTGTTTTGGTCTTTTGAGACAATGTCTTGCCATATATCTTAGACTGGCAGTTAATTTGTGATCCTTCTGCTGGGATTACAAATGGCACCCCATACCTATATCCATTCCACTGTATTATCCCCTTTAACTCAACCACAATAGCATTATCATACTGTGTCATACCACTTCTGAAACTCTTGAAATCTCTGGAGTAATGCACCTTTGGGTGCTACTATAGTTTGGATCTCTGCCCTTCCCTCTTCAGGGCCAACAAGGTCTATGGTGCCCAAGTTGATCTCAAACCCTAAGGTTGAAATGATGATACTTCACCCTCAGCCTTCTAAGTAGTTGGGGCTATAGGCACACATCATGGTGTGTAACATATAATTTGAATCTTTTGGGAGAAAAATTTTAAATGGTTGCACATTAAGTTCCATGTGACATTTCCACACATGTATAAATGTATCCAAATTAATCTCAACCATTTTACCACTCTCTATCCTCTCCCCTTTTTATTTTTTTTTCTTTTTGGTCCGGTTGTGGGCGCTGTCCCTCAGCTCTTCAGCTCAAGGCTAGTGCTCTACTACTTGAGCCACAGCACCACTTCCGGCTTTTTTCTTTTTTTGCTTATGTGGTGCTGAGGAATCGAACCCAGGGACTCATACATGCAAGGCAAGCGCTCTACCACTGAGCCAACTTCCCAGCCCTCCCCTTCTTTTTATTTATGTACTTATTTTTGCCAGGCCTGGGGCTTGAACTCAGGACCTGTCCTGAGCATTGTCCCTGAACTTCTTTTGCTCAAGGGAAGCACCCTACCACATGAGCCACAATGCCACTTCTGGCTTTTTCTGTTGATGTGGTACTGAGGAATCGAACCCAGGGCTTCATTCATGCATGCTAGGCAAGCATTCTACCACTAAGCTACCTACCCAGCCCTCTCCCCTTCTTTTTTTTTTTTCTTCATCAGTCGTGGGTCTTGAACTCTGGGCCTGGGCGCTGTCCCTCAGCTCTTCAGCTCAGGACTAGCCTCTACCACTTGAGCCACAGCGCCACTAGCGGTTTTCTAGTGATTTATTGGAGATAAGAGTCTCGTGGACTTTCCTGCCCAGACTGACTTTGAACCGCAATCCTCAGATCTCAGCCTCCTGAGTAGCTAAGATGACAGGCGAGAGTCACCGGCACCCGGCTCCTCTCCCCTTCTTAAAACCAATGTTATTTACCTCATTCTCTTAAGTTCCCGATCACCACCGTTAATCAGTTATCATCAATTACCCAGGAAAACAAAAACTAGCTATTAGCTGGGCACCGTTAGCTCCCACCTGTCATCCTAACTGCACAGGAAGCTGGGATGTGATGATCGTGGTTTGAAGCCAGCCCGGGAAGGAACGTCCATAAGACTTTTCTCTCCAATGAACTGGCTCTAGCGGAGCTGTGGGTCAGGCGGTAGAGCGCTAGCCTTGCATGAAAATGCTCAGGGAGAGCGCCAGGCTCTGGGTTCAAACCCCAGGGCTGGCACATGTACCCCTAAAGAAATAAGATCCCACGGTGTCTACAGAAAAGCGAGCCCCGGGCGGCTCAGTCAAGGTCGCGGGATACGGAGCCAGGGGGCGCTCACCCAGTCAAAGTCACACGGGTTGCCATCTTCGCGTTGGGTAGGGAGACCGTTGCACAGCGGTGGTAGCTTCCTCACGAGAAGGAAGGCAGCAGAGAGCAGGGCAGACAGAAGGCAGTAAGGACGAGCCAGCCATCGTGAAAGCCGCGGCACGGAATAGATGAGAGCAATGAGAGGTGCCAGAACCGCCATCTTCCAGGCCCCGGCGGCCCTGCCGCTGTCCGGCGTCTGTAGGTCTGGCTCCGCCTCCTTCACTTATGAAGGTTTCTATTGGGTCAAATCTCAGAAGCACCGGTTCCGAACCCGGAAGTGATTTTGATGGGCTGCTGTGGTAGGTCGAGACTGCCAAGGGGGATTTGATCGTTTATTGGACGATCTACCAGTCGCTAGTCCAACTGAGTCATTCGATTGGGTGTTTTTCAGCGAAGGGACGGTTAGCGAGCACTTCCGGAACGTTCTCACCGAGCGACGGAAATAGTTGCAGGAAGAGAGAAGGTGCAGTCTGAAGTATCCAATCACAGGCGTCCCTTGAAGGAAGTGGGCGGCACGTGAGGAGAGGACTGTCCAATGAAAATCACTAACGCCAGACACCGAGACAGCGCCAGGGCCGAGGGGACGATGGAGAATTTCACGGCGCTGTTCGGAGCTCAAGCCGACCCCCCACCGCCTCCCACGGCGCTCGGCTTCGGACCTGGGAAGCCTCCACCCCCGCCTCCTCCTCCTCCGGGTGGAGGTCCTGGGGCGGCCCCGCCCCCAGCCGCGACTGCGGCCCCTCCGGGAGCTGATAAATCTGCGGCTGGTTGTGGCCCTTTCTACCTCATGCGGGAACTGCCAGGTGAGTACTAGGCCTGGCCGAAGCCAGCCAATCGTATTAGAGCTATCAGGTTGTGGGCGTGGCTATCGGCCTGCCGCGAGGGGGGGGGGCGGTACAGAGGTAACCTAGGCAACAAGTTCTAAATCGGAAGGTTTAGGATTAAGGGATCATTTAAACTCCTGGGTTCGACAGTTCTGGTGAACATCCCTGGAATATTGTCTTTCACTAAATCTGGGCCCTGTCACTGACGTTTGTTATTTTGTGACTACCTAAAAATAGAATCCGCGATTGAGTTGAGAACTTGAGAGATCTGGGTTTGGGGTTTTGGGGTGTTTTTGTTTTTTGTTTTTTCCTTGTGTTAGTACTGGGGCTTGAACTCAGGGCCTGGACAGTGACCTTAAGTTTCTTTTGCTCAAGGCTAGCTCCCTACCACTTGAGTCACAGCTCCACTTCAGTTTTTGCTGGGGGAAGAGAAGGGGTTGTTAATTGGACATAAGAATATCAAGCCCCAGCTGGCTTTGAACCGCGATCCTCGTATCTCAGCCTCTTGTGTAGCTAGAGTAACAGGTGTAATCCACCAGTGGCCCACTAGAGAGGTTTTAGGTTCGTCTTCTACAATTTGTTTGGGACAAATTGCCTACCTTACCAAGGACTTAACGTTCTTCTCTTCAGAGATGGGATTACAATCGAACCAAATTCTTTCCTTATTGGGGAGGAGGGGCTGGCTTAGGTCAAACTCTACCTGGTGTGTCTGAGGCTTTGAATGCAGTTACCAGCACAGCAAGCTGTTATTTACCACTGTATTTATTTACCACTATATGATCCAAGCATTGTTAAATGTGACAAGACTGATAAGATGCTGACCATTTGAAGTTTTCTCGTCAGCAGTAGAGCTGACAATATAAATCCGATATTGGTTTAATAACATGAAGAGAAAACATAATAAATAGTTGGAAGGTGCAGAACTATTTTAACCTAGAATGATCACAACCTTCTCCCAGTAGATAACACTTGACTGAAAACTGAGCATAAACTAAGAGGAACAGACAGTTCTGGTTCAAGAAAAAAGGATCAGAAGTCCTGTTGGGACAAAAAGATTGTGATATCTGAGGTTCAGAAAATCCATTAGATCCCAGTGAAGACTTCTAGATAAAGTACACAGGAAAAGCGGAGGTCTTTATAAAGCATTTAAAGTCCAAAGGAAGCCAGTGGCTCATATAATCCTAACTACTCAGGAGGCTGAGATCTGAGAATCTCCATTCAAAGCCAGCATGAGCAGGAAAGTCCATGAAACTGTTATCTCCAGTTAGTCACCAAAAAGCTAGAAGTGGAGCTGTATTGCTAGCTGTAATGCTAGCCTTGAGCACAAAAGCTCAGAGTTCAAGCCCCAGGACTGGCACACACAAAAATCGAATCCAGAGAGAAGCTATTTTAACACAAACCAATTAACATAAGCCATTTTAACAATCATTTATTCAAATTATTCAAGCAGAAAGGATTGCTGGTTTCAATTAGGTCTTAGCAGTGAAGAAGTGTTGCAGGATACATATCACAGGAACAGCTGACAGGAATGAAGAATTGATAGAAATAAAAGAGGAATTGAGAATGACGTATAAGATTTCAGCAGGAATATTTTTGGGGATGGAAGTCTAAGGGAGGCTAGGAAGACGAAGAATTAAGTTCAAGGAGCTAGAAACTTGTTTTAGACCTGGTAAGTCTCTAAGATACCTTTTCATTCATCCCAAGCTTTACTGGCACATCATGACTGAAAGGAAATAACTATTAGAAAAGTACTTGGAAGTTTGCAACACACTGATGATTGATGTGTGATAGTATTTAGAAACACAGGTCCCTCGACATTGGTGGGTCATGCCTGCAATCCTAGGTACTGTGGAGGTTGAGATCTGAAGATTATCATTTGAAGTCAGACCAAGACAGGAAGGTCTTATCTCCAATTAATCATCCCCCAAAGGAGGAAATGGAGCTGTGTGGCTCAGGTTGGTAGAATGCCAGCCTTGAGCAGAAAAAGCTAAGGGATAGCACCCAGGACTTGAGTTCAAGCCCCAGTTCTGGCACCAAGGGGAAAAAAAGAAAAAAAAAACAGTCCTATGAGATAGGATTTGCTTTCTGTACTTTGTAAGTGAAAACAATCCGGCGCCGATGTCTCACACCTTGTAATCCTACCTACTCAGGAGGCTGAGATCTGAGGATCATTGTTCTAAGCCAGCCCAGGCAGGAAAGACTGTGAGACTCCTATCTCCAATAAACCACTTAGGAAACCGAAAGTGGCGCTGTAGCTCAAGAAGTAAAGCACTCGCCTTAAGCTGAAGAGCTGAGGGACAGCGCCCAGGCCCAGAGTTCAAGCCCCACAACTGATCCCCCCCCAAAAAAAAAAAGTGAAAACAAACAATCACATAAGTATAAAGAGAGTGGCTGTTTTTTTTGGGGGGGGTTCTGGGTTTTTTTTTGGTGATTGGTATCCACTAGCAATTTCTTTAACCTTTATTTTGCCTTACCTTCTTCTTATTGATTTATATCAACCAGTTGACAAATACATTTTTTCTGAGCAAATGCTAGGCATGATGGGAGTGGGAAATGTGATGAGAAGGGGAGATAGATTAATAAGCCTGGTCTTTAATTTCTAAGAAGCTTATTTTAATTAAGGATGTACAAATGTGGCTTATAATCATGACTTTTTTTCTTGGGGTTATTTTTTTTTTGGTCCGGTCGTGGGGCCTGAACTCTGGGCCTGGGCGCTGTTCCTCAGCTCTTCAGCTCAAGGCTAGCGCTGTACCACTTGAGTCACAGCGCCACTTCCGGGTTTTTTCTTTTTTGCTTATGTGGTGCTGAGGAATCCAACCCAGGGCCTCATGCATGCAAGGCAAGCGCTCTACCACTGAGCCAACTTCCCAGCCCTTTCTTGGGGTTATTATCGTTGTTGTTTGTTATGCTGGTGCTGGGGCTTGAACTCAGGACACGGCTCTGAGCTTTTCTGCTCAAGGCCAGTGCTCTACCACTTGAGCCACAGCTCAACTTTTTTGTGGTTAATTGGAGATAAGAGTCTCCTAGACTTTCCTGCCCAGGCTAGCTTTGAATCTTGATCCTCAGATCTCACCCTCCTGAATAGTTAGGATTATAGGAGTGAGCCATTTCTTTCTAGCTTTCTTCCTTTCTGTAATTTTTTTTAATGATGCTGGATATTAACCCAGCACCTTCCACATAGTAGTCAAACACACCATATATTCTCAGTCCCGTTGAGATTTTTTGAGTTGAGGAATATTGCCTTCTAAAAACATCTGGATCTCGGTACCAGTGGCTCAATCCTGTAATCCTAGTTACTCTGGAAACTTGAGATCTGAGGACCGAGGTTTGAAGCTAGGCAGGAAGTCTGTGAAACTCTGAATCTCCAATTAACCACCAAAAAAACAGAAGTAAGCTGGGTGCTGGTGGCTCGCGCCTGTAATCCTCCTACCTACTCAGGAGGCTGAGATCTGAGGATCTCAGTTCAAAGCCAGCCTGGGCAGGAAAGTCCGTGAGACTCTTATTTCCAATTAACCACCAGAAAACCAGAAGTGGTACTGTGGCGCAAATGGTGGAATGTTAGTCCCGAGTGTAAACACTTAAGCAAGAGCACAAGGCCCTAATAAGTTCAAGCCCCAGTAGCAGCACAAAAAAAAAAAGGAAACAACTACATACATAGAGGAAAAGTACTGGTAATAAATATTTGAGTAATATGTGTACCACATTTTCACTAGCAACACAGGAACAAAACATTGCCTATGCAGTCCAGGGGCTTACAGCTCAGAATCTTGGTTTTTCCCCAAGTAAATGATTATAAACTGCCACTTTTGTCATTTGTACCTTGTGTGCCCATAATTATTGATGAAGTAGATTGGATATTTTTACCCCTCCTCATTAGTTCTTTACTGGTAAGTTTATATTCTTTGAAAATAAGTCATCCGGGGCTGGGAAGGTAGCTCAGTGGTAGAGCACTTGCCTTGCATGCCTGAGGCCCTGGGTTGGATTCCTCAGCACCACATAAGCAAAAAGAAAAAAGCCGGAAGTGGCGCTGTGGCTCAAGTGGTAGAGCACTAGCCTTGAGCTGAAGAGCTGAGGGACAGCGCCCAGGCCCAGAGTTCAGGCCCCACGACTGGACCCAAAAAAAATAAAATTAAAAAATAAGTCAGCCATATGATATATCAATAATGCGTTAATATGTATCTTTTTTTAATTTGTTTCAGTACTAGGGCTTGAAGTCAGTGCCAGGGCAATGTCCCTGATCTTTTTCCCTCAAGGATGGCTTTCTACCAGTTGAGCCACATCTCCACTTCCAGCTTTTTTATAGTTAATTTGAGATAAGTCACAGAGACTTTCCTTCCAACCCAGATCCTTAAACCTCAGCTTTCTGAGAAGCTAGGATTATAGATGTGAGCCACTGGTGTCCAACTCACTAGAATATTTGATGAAAAATGCTCAGAACACTATTCAGATGTGTCACATAAGTTGTTCTGATTAGTCTAAGGAGAATCTACTCTTAGGTGTTTCCATGAGCTAGAGAAGTGTCCATCTCTGCCTACTTGGACGTTTGCCTTCTTTTCCAATTCCTTCATTCTCTAGTATTAAATTTTTAGTGTTTATTACATCTCTGGTGGGAAGTGAGGGAGACAGGGTCTCACAGTGTAGCCCAGGCTGCCCTTGAAATCCCAGGCCTCCTGAGTGCTAGGGTGGCCAGCGTGCCCACTCTGTCAGGCTCATTATGTATTACTGTTGGATTGTCCCCTGTCTGAAATGCAGAGGACCAGACGTGTTTCAGATTTCAGGGTTTTTCAGATTTTGTAATATTTGCAGATTTTTCCCAGGTAAACATCCCTAATTTGAAAACCTGAAATTCAGATTGTTCTAAAATTGTGTGGGTATACTAGGGTTTGAAGTCAGGGCCTTGTGCTTGCTAGGTAGGTGCTCTGCCACTTGACCCATGCCTCTAGTCACTGCCCCCCTTCCCCCAGCTTTTTTGGAGGCTGGGGGTACCAGTTCTGGGGCTAGGGCTTAAATGTGGTCCCTGAGGTTTTTCACACATAGCTAGCATTCTCCCACTTGAGCCGCAGTTGTACTTCCACTTTTTTTTCTTTTTTTTTTTTTTTTTCTGGGGTTGGGACGGGGACGGGGGTGCTTAACTGGAGAAAAGAATCTTACAGTCCCACAGTTTCCTATCTGGCTGGCTTCAAACTGCTATCCTCAGATCTCAGCCTCCAGTTAGGATTACAGCTGTGAGCCAATGCAAGCCATGTTTTATTTTTGAGATAGGGTCTTGTGGTTTTGTGCAGGCTGGCATGGACCTCCTACAGTTGGTATGACAGGCCTGTGCATACCACATAGGAGGCAGATGAGATGGGGTTTCACTTGCTTTTGGTATGGGCTGACCTTAAACCATGATCCTCCCAAAGGATAACTTGGCTACTCAATTAGCTTCAGGTTTCAGGTGTGAGTCACAAAAGCTGTATGATGTAGGAGCTCAATAAGCTTGATTTCAAAGAATTGCAGATCCCAAGTTTCCAAATTTCACTTTTCATATTAGGGTATGTTCACCTGCATTTATTTTTTGCTCAGTTTCTTATTATACAAGTCAATTTAAAGTTTTGTAATACTTCCACTTTTCTATTTAGGTTACAGTCCTTCACTGTCCCTCCAGATCAATGACCAAAAAAGAATCTCTTCTCTTGGTACTGACTTTTTAATTCTGTGTGTTCTCTAGGTAGCACAGAGTTGACAGGCAGTACCAACCTGATCACACACTACAAACTGGAACATGACTATAATAAGTTCTGCGGAAAGAAGGTGAAGGAGAAGCTAAGTAACTTTCTGCCTGACCTGCCAGGGATGATTGATCTGCCTGGTTCCCATGATAACAGCAGCCTCCGCTCCCTCATTGAGAAGCCTCCTATTCTTGGTGGTTCTTTTAATCCTATCACAGGGACCATGCTGTCTGGCTTCCGCCTCCACACTGGCCCGGTGAGTCCCCTATTAGGGAGGAAGGTGGCAAATGGGGAGGCCTAAAAGGCATGGAGGTGGCTTTCTATCCAAGTCTGTTCCTTGGTAATTTACTGAGAATAGATTTCTGCATAGGATCTCCAGATGAGTAGACTCACCTAGACCTTCCTTTGGTTCCTTCAGTTGCCAGAACAGTGTCGTCTGATGCATATTCAGCCTCCCAAGAAGAATAAGCATAAGCACAAACAGAGCCGTACCCAGGATCCTGTCCCCCCAGGTAAGCAGTTCTGTTCATAGCAAGAATACTGTCTGCCCTAGTCTTCCACTTAAATGCAGCTAAGTATCTTTTAGAAGCCCTGAACTTCCAAGTCCTCCTGTATAAGGGACTGGCATATTGGGGTCTCTTAGGCAAGTAGGGACTTGGCACAGAGGTTTTGACAGCATCTTAGTATCCTTTTTTGTTTCTGTTATCTTCAAACCTCTGTATCCTTTCTATCCATCTGGCAAAAAGCAGTTGTGCTGACATGAGATTATCCTGCAGAATTTTGAGTCTATATAGCAGCAGAGGATTTTCAGCTGTACAGGTGATAGGCATCTGTTTCCTACAGAAACACCATCAGATTCGGATCACAAGAAGAAGAAAAAGAAAAAAGAGGAGGATCCTGAACGGAAGAAGAAGAAGAAAGAGAAGAAGAAAAAGAAGGTAGGGTGGAAGCCTAGTGCTACAGCGCAGTGAGTTTCCCTCTCACCCTTAAATGGTCCTTTGCCTTAAGAGGGACTCAGTACTGAAAACCCAGGGCAAGTTGGCGTTTTTCTTGTGCAGAACTGGCCAAGGCTAGTTCCTACATTTTCTAATACCTTCTTCCTCTCTTCCCAGAACCGACACAGTCCAGACCACCCAGGTATGGGCAGCTCCCAGGCCAGCAGCAGTAGCAGTCTCCGCTAACAGAACCACTGGACTTTGCCAGGATGACTTTTCCTGCTGTACTGAACCTGCTGACAAAAGCTGTCTCCCAGGCTCTGGGACACTGCCTTGGGGGCAACCTAGCAGCTGGGACAGAGCTCTGCCAGCTCCTGCTGTGCTTGATTGAGGTCAAGATCAATACATACTAGAAGGCAATGGTTTTGAAAGGCTCAGCCAGTTGGCTTTCTCATGGACATTTTTTTCCTCTCCCAGGAAGCTATTTCTTTCCTCTTTTGTGCTATTTGTCTGATTTCAGGACTTGTTAGGGATTTTCGTTGAAAAAAAATTTTTTTTTGTATTTATCAAACTGGCTGAAGTGTGGCTGCCTGTTAAGAGGTAAGTGCCTTTCTATGTGAGTCAGGGTTAAGACAAAGCATTGCTAACTTGATTTGGGTCTTGTCACTACAGTATCTCATTAGCAGGCAGGGAAGCAACCAAGTGAGACTGGAGACATGGTTCCAAAGGCAGAGCTTGACATTACTTTTCCAAGCAGACACATAACACACTGCCCACGTTGAGAGCCAGGCACCTGGATGATTTCCAGGGTCCACCCCTGAAGAGCTGATCCAGTGAAGGTTGAGTTGTGTTCTAGGTAAACTGTGTTGAAGCAGAATAGTCAAATGAAAAAGCACCAACTTACCAGTGTTTATCAACAAGATTGGTTCTTAGGTCAGAAGCCTAAGACTGGATTGAACCTCTGGCAACCAAAGATAAATGCTCTTGTCTTTGTAAAGAACATCTAACCTGCCTTATTCTTTAATTCAGACAATGAAAATACTTAAGGTTGTGAAAGTGTTTCTAATCTTCTAAGACAGCATCAAAAGCAGCAGCCTGAGGTAGCAATGAAAATGTAAAATAGATTCCTTTAGTTTTTGGAGCAGGCTGAGTAGCAGAAAACATACGCAGGGAAACATGAAGTAATGTAATCTGACTTTAAATTTTCTACAGGACTGTTAATACCTGTTGCTATGTGCTATGGCTTTTCCCAAGTACATGGGCAGAAAGCCACTTGTTCAGCTCCTTTTAATCGAGGACTTCAGAGTATGAGTTTATACTTTAGCTCTATGGAATATGAAGGGTTCCTGAGATTGTGTTTCTGAGGATGCCTATTTAAATAAGGGTACAAACCTTTGCTTTTAACAAATAGAAGAGTGCTGCCCATAGCCAGTCATCCTTGGCTATACCCAAAAGGAGCCTTACTTTGTGGAGACAAAATTAATGAACAATTGAAACAAGTTTAAAGTTCTCTATGCTTTGACATGTTTTCATGGTTATAAAACATTCAGGAATTTCTTAATTAAATTACTCAAGTTAAAACAAGACCTTTTAGTTAGTTTTCATTATTTTCTGCCTTAAAGATGAGGTGGCAGCAGAGAAGCTTACAGGTTTCTGTGTGTGCTCACTTCCCACCAGTTCACCCTGCCTTAACCAGACAAACAACACAAGCCAGGGGAGGCTGATTAGATCAGGATTTCTTTTTATTCCTTGTTGGTTTAAAATGGCTAATCAGAATAAAAAATAAAGGGCCTCTGTATAGAGGCTGGGGTCTTCCCTTACTTAGAGGTTAGAACCCAGGTACCCCCTCTACCCAGCACCATACTTAGGTGGGCTGAGGGGTAACCCCCAAGGGACAATCGGAGGGGCCTAGGCTTGCCACTCCTTCTCTCTATCCCATTTTTGGCATATGATGAAAAATATTGCTTTTTTTTTTTATTCTTCTCTCCTGGCCTTGGATTTTAAAATCATGCTAACAATGTAAGCCACAGGAAAGCTTTGAGGGGCTCACTGAAGAAGCCCACCCTAATCTTTTCCCCCCAAGAATGGAGGATTATCCAATATTACTTCTTAAACTAGGCCAAGCTCTCTTCCTGATCCCCACCACCTCCACCTGCCACAGAGCTGCAACCCCTTTCCTGGGGAAACTAGATGCCTGTAAGCCTAGAAAACCAACCCTCCTCTCCAAGTGCTTCCCACATCTGATCAAGACCCCAGACTCACTGCTTCCCAGGTTTCTTCCTCAATCATTAGCACCAACAGGAGGTGCTATTTCCTTAGTTGGTTACTGGGACGAAAGAAGGAACCATGGGAAAAAAGGAAGACTTCAATGTCTCTCCCTTATTTCCTGCTGGTCTGAGGAAAAGGAAGAGCAAAATTCCCCCTCCTTTTGTGCGTGTGTGCATATGTGTATGTGTGTGTGTGCCTGTGTATATACATACATACATATATCCCTCATCTATATATCCCATCCCAAGATAGATATATAATTTCTTTGATATTTATTATATACATACATATATATGTATATATATGTATATGTACACACACACACCTGGTAACGCAGAAGAGGAAAAAAATAGAATCCGTAACAATAATAAAAAAAATTATTTCTGGTTTAAAAATGATCTGGTACCCTCCAGAGCGAGCAATTGCACAAATGTCCACTGAGTCTGGTCCAGGGATTAATAAGGGAAGGGAAGGTCTTAAAAGGTAATAGGGGTTGCTACCCCGGTCTCAGAGCCCCAATCTCCAACTCCCCGACCCCGTGGCATCCTCTTGGAATCGGTGGTTTAAAAAATGTCCATGCAGGGGAGGGAGCCCCTTGAGGGAAGGAAGGTGGCCACCCGGGGCCCTTTGGTGTAGGAACAGAGGCATGGGGAAGGAGAGCCAAAGGCTCACACAGAAATCTCATAGGTGGTGCCTCCCACCCCTGACACCTTCTTCACTCCTCCCCTTGTGGGGCTACTCAGAGGTGGCTGGCCTGGGCCAGAGGAGGCTGAGCCTATACTCTTGGGCTGCCCATTGGATTTGCTGTAGGCGGTCTTGAGCTGTACTTCATCTCTGGTAAGAAAACAAGAGATAAGTGTCAGGAAAAAGGGCACAAAGCACAGCAAAAGAGTGTTTACAATGTGGTTACCCAAACAGTCGCTTTTGTTTTATTAACACTGAAAACCTGGCTGATGCCCTATTTCCACAATGTATTTCTAACTACTAGTAGCTCTCTCACACTTACCTTCAGGCAGATAATACTTTAAAGGAGATAGCATTAAGGGGAAGTATTCACCTTCAGGTTAGCTGAGTAAAAATAAGTTCAAGAATACCCTTTGGAGCAGGGAGTCAGTGGCTCACCCGATAATCCTAGCTAATCAGGAGGCTGAGATCTTAGGATCTCAGTTCAAAGTCAGCTTGGGCAGGAAACTGAGATTCTTATCTCCAATAAACCACTCAGAAAAACAGAAGTGGCACTGTGGCTCAAGTGGTAGAGCATTCGCCTAGAGCTGAAGAGCTGAGGGACAGTGCCCAGGCCCAGAGTTCAAGCCCCACAACCAACAACAACAACAAAAAAAAGAGAATACCGTTTGGCCCACCACCCACAGATTATACAAGGAAAGCCCAAATACGTTTTGCTGAGTGGTACCTCAAATTTTAAGTTGGCTAAGGACCAGGATGGGATCATACTTACTTGGGTGTCAGTAATGGCTGCAAGGCCACTTCCTCTGTCTCTGAGACACCAGGTGGAGCTTTTTGGCTGCTGTAAGACATCGATCGGCCCAGGTATGAGGCAGTTGGGCCTGGTTCAGGGGAGCCTAATCCGCGGCTCCTTAGCCCATCCGGTTTGCCAAAACGGGGTACAGCTGGGCGTCCCAGTGGAGTCTTGCCCAAGGGTGATCTCTTTGAATCATCTGAGGAGGAACTAGTACGAGGGGCATGGCCTGAGCCTGGTGTTGACTGAATCCCCGAGTCCCCCAAAGCTGGTTCTTCCTCACGTCCTGTGAGTGGGGGTGACTGACGTAGCAGCTTCTCTCGTTCCTGGAGGGAGGCCACAATGTGGCGTGACAGATTGTCATAACGGACTGGTGAGGGCTCTCGGTGTGCTGGGCCGGATGGCACCAAACGTGGGTGCCTCTCAGCTTCCCGCTGCTGGGCCAGCCGGGCTGACAGGAAGGGAGAAGTGTAGCCTAAAGGTGGATCTGGCTCAGGCCCTGCCTGTACTGACTCAAAATCAGGGCTGTCTGAAGGAGTGAGTAAACTGTCATAAGAGAGGCTTCCATTGCGTGTCTGGTTGGCCAGGCTTTTATAGGAGGTGGAGGTGGTACCCTCTGAACGAATGGACTGCAACTGGCCCAGCTCAAAGCCTGTACCCTGGGCTGACTTGAGACTGGATGAGCGTGAGCCACTGGAGAGTGGATCGAAGTGAAAGCTTTTGCCAAAGGTGGGTGAACGGAAGCTCTCTGGCTCCAAGCTGGGCTCTGAGCGGTAGCTGGGATGACGGCTGCTTTCTGCAATTGAGGTTGGTTCCTTTAAGCTGTCCCCACGACTCAACTGAGGAAATAAAGCAGATTCTTTGTTACTACAGTATTTTCAGTTTTATTTGAAAAATGAATACACAACAAAGATGACCAATATTTCTTAGCTCTACCTGCATTTAGTGCTGGCTTTTGAGCAGCTTTCTTTGATAAAGCAGATTCTTAATGGTCCCCTTGTTATAGACCCCAGAGCCCAAAAGAATTAGAGCCAGCTGTAATATCAGCACTTAGGAAGTTGAGGCAAGATTTCAAATTCAAGGTCAGCTTGAGCTACATTAAAAAAAAAAAACAAACGGTGCCGGGCACCAGTGGCTCACACCTGTAATCCTAGCTATTCTGGAGACTGAGATCTGAGGATTGTGATTCAAAGCTGGCCTGGGTAGGAAGTCCGTGAGATTCTTTATCTCCAATAAACCACTAGAAAACTGGAAGTGGTGCAGTGGCTCAAGTGGTGGAGTGTTCGCCTTGAGTTGAAGAGCACAGGGACAGCGCCCAAGCCCAGAGTTCAAGCCATGATCAACAACAACAACAAAAAAAGTGCCCTGTGGCTCAAGTAGTACAGTGCTAGCCTTGAGCAAAAGAAGTTCAGGAGCAGCATCCAGGCCCGGAGTTCAAGCCCCAGGACTGAAAACAAAAAACTATAAGTAAATCTGTAAGGTGGAATAAATAATATCTCATTTTAAGATGCAGGAAATGATGGCTAGAGAGAATAAGGCACTTGTACATCCTGGTTTTAAAGTCAGATTACAATAATTAATCCTCTTATCTACTATAATATGTTCTTCCTTCTTTGATGAACACACTATCACAGAAATTCAATTCCACTAATGTCAAACTCATAAAATGCCCTTGGTTTTCTTCCCTTCTGCTTCTTCCTACGCAGCTTCTTTTTCCCAAGGGTTGACATATGTTATAACCCTCCTTAGAGTACACAATACCTTGGCGCTGGAGGAATGAGGCATGGCGGCTGATGTGCTGCTACTACTGTATCCTGGCCGGTATTTGTACATGGTAGGTGTGGGGGGGCTGTCCTTGCCCAAGAGGCTGCTATCTGCAGGGGGGGAAAAAAAGGCCCAGGGGGCACTACGTTACAAGAAATTCTCTTAATCTGCCTAAAATACAGGGGAAGGATAAATCACAGCAAACATACCCAGCGAAAGGAAAAGTCTGGGAAACATGAAACCATATGAAACTACTTATATCAGTTGAATGCCAGTGGCTCACACCTGTAATCTTAACTACTCAGAAGGCTGAGATCTGAGGATCGTGGTTCAAAGCCAGCCCAGCCAGGAAGAAAAGTCTGTGAGAGTCTTATCTCCAAATTAACCACGAGAAAACTCAAACTGGCACTGTACTTGACCCTTGCCTTGCGCTGAAGAACTCAGGGACAGCACCCAGGCAGAGTTCAAGCCCATTACCGACAAAAAATAAAAAAAAAAAACAAAAAACCCCTACTTATACAAATTTAGAGCTCAGTGTTAGCAAATTTAATGCACAAAATACTCCAGGAAATTATCAGGTCTAAGGTTAACAACTACCCCGACAAAAGTGCAATTCAATGCCAACTGCTACAAGGCATCCCTCCTCAAGTTACCCAAAAAAGCACCTGCTGGGTATTCTTGGGCAGGCCTTGCCTATCTTCTTAGACCTACCTTTTGCCTTCTAGTTCTAGGACCTCGAAGATCAATAGGGCACTTACCCTCATTAGTAGCCAGGCTGAGGTGTGTTCGCAGCCCTGTGTAACGGCTCAGGTCTGGCTTAGGAGGAGGTGGAGGTTCTGCATCTGCAGACTGGCTTTCTGTTATCTCCAGGCTTCCCTTAGACTAGATAAATGAGGGGTAAAGAGAGATCCAGACTTGAAAAACTGGGCAGTATAACAATTCAAATTATTTAACTGGCAAAGGTACTGAAGAATCAATCATATATTTCTAAACTGGCACTGGAAGACAAGGCACAACAGTTGTGAGATAAGTTTTCAATAAAAGCTTAATTTCTACCACTAATTTGTTCATTACAAGCAACAACTCTGTTGAGCTTCTTTCATCTCATCTTGCTCAGTCTGAGGAAGTCATAAGAATGTACTCAATGTCTGTGGTCATTGAACTTAAATATAATGGAGAAAAAAAAGATCTGTATGTAAGTCACATGAATTAGGAAGTGCTCCTAAAGATATAAAGTAACTGCGAGTTTCCATTTCTTTGCAAGGGTTAAATTTCTCCAAGTTACCCAATTCCTCACCTTAGTTCTCCTCAGCTCTCCCTGGATGCCATTATCCATGATCTTCACAGTTATCTGCCCATCCGACACTTCTGGTCGAAGGAAAGGAGGTCTGATTACAATTGTCTTCTCTTTCTTTGGTCTTCCCAAATACCTGGTATCAAAAATGAAAAGACAAGGGCTAGGAATGTGGCTCACTGGTAGAGTGCTTGCCTAGCATGCATGATGCCCAGGGTTCAATTCCCCAGTACCGCATATACAGAAAAAGTCAGAAGTGATGCTGGGGCTCAAGTGATAGAGTGCTAGCCTTGAGCAAAAGCAGCTCAGGGACAGTGCCCAGACCCTGAGTTCAAGCCCCAGGACTGGCAAAAAAAAAGGAGACTTTAGTTAGTTCAAAACATCTACTAATGCCCTATTATGTATGAAACATTTTTACAAATGTAAGAAACAATCCTGTGGTGGGATGTGGATGGTTCAGTGATAAACAGAACCAAAAGGAAGTTCTATCAGGCTAGTGAAAAAGTTAGCACCAAACGAATTTAATTACATGAAGATCTATAGTAAGACTAGACTGTGATATGCATAGGTGCCCAAGGCATTCTGAAGTGTATCTCATTCATCTTCAACTCTCAAAGGAGGTTAGCCATAATACATGAGGAATATCAGTTGAACTCACAGGGTCCACACCAAAGGATGGGCATGTCTCTCACTTGCAGCACTTACTGTTCTAGAGAAATCCCTTCCTAAATGGCAGATGAAGCCCAAAGGAGATAAAAATTTAACCAAGTGTCAAAAGGGGTAGGTAGGCATACCTAGGTGCTGGAGAACTGCAGAGTACACGGCTCACATTGTTACAACAGCCATTGGTGAAGGGGTTCACACCTCCCCGGAATTTACCCGTAACCTAGAAAGAGGTAAAAAAGGAAGTCACAGTTCTGTTCTGGGGTCTTGACCTCCAAAAATGTAAACAAGTAGGAAATTACTGTGTATCCACTCTCAAAGCTTATACATGTAATGACTAAGAAAAAGGACTCTACAGTCAGGGTCCTCAGTTCAAATCCTAAATCTACCTCATGGTAGCTTGTCTAGTGGCCCTAAATATCTGTTTCCTCATATAAATTGAGTAAATAGCTATTTTTTTTTTTTTGGTTCAGTAGTGGGGGCTTGAACTCTGGGCCTGAAGCTACCCCTGTGCTCTTCAGCACAAGGCGAGCATTTGAGCCACAGCACCACTTCCAGTTTTCTGGAGGTTTACTGGAGATTATAGTCTCACGGAGTTTCCTGACCAGGCTGGCTTTGAACCACGATCCTCAGATCTCAGCCTCCTGAGTAGCTAGGATTACAGGCATGAGCCACTGGTGCCTGGCTTGCTTTTTTTTTTTTTAAAGTACTGGGGCCTGAACTTAAGGCCTTACTCTCCAGCTTAGCTTTTTCTGCTCATGGTTGGATTGTTCTACCTCCCAAGTCATTTCTCCAGCCTGGATTTTTTGTCTGTTAATTGTCAATAAGAGTCTGGAGGACTTTTCTGCCCCTGGCAGCTTTTAACCATGATCCTCAAATCTCAACTTTCCAAGTAGGCTAGGATTTACAGTTATGAATCATCTAGTTCAGAATTTTTTGTATGTGTATGCTGCTACTGAGACTTGAACTCAGGGTCTCAAGATACCACTTTCTTGCTCATGGTTTACACTCTACCACTTGAACCATGCTTCCAGTCCATAAGTAGCTTTCTGAATAACAGTAAAATAATCCACAGTTCAAGTTCCTTAAATAAAATGGCACAGCATTTGCATATAATGTATGCACAGCTATCTATTCTAAATCACCCTAGAAGACTTATGCTACCTTTTCTACCTGATATAGCATGTTATATAAATATATGTATATATGCATACATTACATTTTTATATATACAGTGTATTGCTTAAGGAATAATGACGAGGAAATAAAGACCACATTTTAAGTACAGATCCAATTTTTTCCTGAGTGTATTCCACAGTTGGTTACTTGAAAAACCCACAAGTACATGGCTGTGTAAGACTAAATTGGGCTGGGATGTGTCTTAGTGGTAGAGTGCTTGCCTAGCATGCATGAAGCCCTGGGTTTGATTCCTCAGTACCACATAAACAGAAAAGGCCAGAAGTGGCACAGTGGCTCAAGGAGTAGAGTATTAGCCTTGGGCAAAAGAAGCTAAGGGACAGTGCCCAGGACGAGTTCAAGCCCCAAAACTGGCAAGAAAAAAAAAAAAACCTAAATAATTAAGATTACTATTTATGGCACACACAAAAAGTCTTTTCATATTAGCAGTGTTGTAAGTTTTTCAAGGCCTGACCCAACTCTTACTACTCCCATAACTCAGCCTAGACTGTCTTCTAGTATACAGTGTGCGTTCAGTAAAGATTTGTTAAATGAGAAACAGCCTCTTTCTCATGTTTTGTTTTTTCCCTTTCACTTTCCTCTTCGCCTTTCCTTGAGTCCAGGTTGGCCTCAAACTGTCAATCCTTTTTTTTTTTTTTTTACTTTTGTCGGTCGTGGGGCTTGAACTCTGGGCCTGGCCACTATCCCTCAGCTCTTCAGCTCAAGGAGAGCGCTCTACCACTTGAGCCACACGCCACTTCTGGTTTTCTAGTGGTTTACTGGAGATAAGAGTCTCATGGACTTTCCTGCCTGGGCTGGCTTAGAACAATGATCCTCAGATCTCAGCATCCTGAGTAGCTAGGATTGCACATGAGCCACAGGTGCCTGGCCTGTCAATCCTTCTGAGTGCTGGAATTGTAGGTACCTCCCTCCACGTCTAGTTTTATCTTCATATTTGAGGACTTAGGTATATCTCAACCCATACCACTAATCTCTGAATTACCATATAAAGTATTCATTAAGCCTCTCAGAGCATTATGCTACACAATGATCTGAGGGCTTGAGACATGACCCTGCTCTTCAGGGGTCTCCTATCACTTCTCCCCGTACCTGTTCATTAGTTGTGCGTCCCCTGGCCACCAGCACCACATGAAATCCGGTGAGGCCAGCTACTGGGATGAAAAATAAGCCAGCCACACACATCACTGCCATTCTGATGCCAAACAGTCAAGGAGAACAAAGCAATGCTATCTTGCCTTTCCCAACCCCAAATGAACATACCCTTTTGACCTTCCCTACTACAGGACTCAGTTTTTCTTTCCTTCCCGCCTCAATCCCACACTCCAATGGTGTTAAAGGATACGTGACAGCCGTGCGGACCCCTGAGAGTTCCTCTATGTGGTAGAGGACATAAAGGAGGCCAAAGCCAAACACACCCATAATGTGGGCTGTCAGGGAAAGGAGGAAGAGGAAGAAATAACGGTAGTTCCGGCGACCAATACAGTTGTTCACCCAGGGGCAGTGATGATCAAATTCCTAGGAGCAAAAGAGACAGTGTGAGAAGCTTCCTTACTCCACAGCATTAGACCTTACTTTTAGTAATTAATGATCACGTTCATTTAGTTACAAAATTAAAAACAGGCAATAGCGTTTTTTGGGGTTTTTTTGGTCAGTCGTGGGGCTTGAACTCAGGGCTTGGGCGCTGTCCCTGTGCTAAACCGAGCGCTTTACCCCTTGAGCCACAGCACCACTTCCGGTTTTCTAGTGGCTTATTGGAGAGAAGTCTCACAGACTTTCCGGCCTAGGATGGCTTTGAACTGTGATCCTCAGATCTCAGCCTCCTGAGTAGCTAGGATTACAGGTGTGAGCCACCAGCGCCCGACACAATAGCGGTTTTTGAAAAAAAAAAAAAAACTTTCCAGAAATTGGTCAAAGGTCAAGTTTTCAAAAGTTTATCCTACATAACCCAGGAACTCAAAAAAGGATGAATACTGAAAGATTTCTTTACAGAACACTCACAATTCTTAAGAAATGAGCTTTTAGCAAGAAAACCAGGCAAGAATCAGCCTACAGGTGAGTGTATATGTGCTGAGAAAAGGGCTAAAAAGACAAGGATGCAAAAGGACAACGAGGAAGGCTAAAGTCCAATTTGATTTCAACAGCAAGACTTTCTGGAAGCAGGAGATAGCACAAAGGCAGGACCAATAATCAAAAAAGATTAACAGATATTGCAGCACTGTTCACAATAGCTAGGATATGGAAACAACCCAGATGCCCCACCACAGATGAATGGATCCAAAAATTGTGGTATCTATACACAATGGAATATTATGCAGCCATTAGAAATGACAAAATAATGGCATTTGCAGGGAAATGGATGGAGCTAGAAGGAATCATGTTGAGCGAGGTAAGCCAAGAATGAAGAGACAAATGGTACATGGTCTCCCTGATAAGTGGATGCTAAATCCAAAATGTTAGGTGATACGACAAAACTAACAGGGCTTAAGAAACAAAGAACTCCCACTCATCTGGTTGAACCACTACTAAATATCCCCATACTGCTGATCACATATATGGTGTATAACATGTGAACACCGTTATATGTTACAGACTGTGATAGACAATTTGCTCAAGGAAAGTTAGAATGAACTTGTGACTTTAAATGAGCATCATTATTCCACAATACTGTGAAATTCCGGAAATTATGTAATCACTTAATCACAATAAAAAAAAAGAACCTGGGGAAGGGAGGGAGGGAGGGGATGGTAGGGGGAAAACAATGGAGGGGGTAACAATGTTCAAGAGGAAGTGTACTCATTACCTCATTCATGTAACTATCACCCTCTGTATAGTATCTTTACAATAAAAAAAAAATTTTTTTTGAAAAAAAAAAAAGATTAAAAGAAGCCAAGCGCCAATGGGATCGGCTAGTGCCTATAATCCTAGCTAAGGAGGCTGAGATTGAGGATCAAGGTTCGAAGCCAGCCCAGTCAGGAAAGTCTATGAGACTCTTACCTTCGATTAACCACCAAAAGACTGAAGGTGGAGCTGTGGCTCAAAGTGGTAGAGAGTTTTTGCCTTGAGCAAAAAAGCTCAGAGCTAGTGCCTAGGCCCTGAGTTTAAGCCCAAGAACAACAACAACAAAAAGAACAAACCAAAAAACCAAAAAACAAAAGCAGATAGGAGGCTGGAAATTTAAATCTTGAGTGTTAGCAAAGCTTATATCTACTTGAGGTCAAAGTTTCCCTGCTGTAATTATAAAGTACTCATGCTCTGACCCACATATGCACTTTTTTGCTAACACCTTTCGATTGAGCTAGACCATGCTATTTCAGCAGTTCTCCAGGACTGCCTTTCATCCAAGGCTGAGAATCTTTGCTAGAGATAAGAAGACTTCGTGAGGTACTGGGTCTCACCTCCACACAGTTATCACAGACACTGCAGTGGGAACATCGCGGAGGGCGGTAGAAACGGCAGGTGGCACACCATTTCATCCGCACTTGGATACCTTTGATCTCAACTGTTTTGTAAAGAGGAGCACGGAAATCATCTTCTTTGTCTTCATCCTCCTCAGCTAGAAAGAAGGGGAAAAAAATCAGTTAAACAACTACCCACCTAGGGGGCTGAGATCTGAGGATCAAAGCTAGCCCAGGCAGGTAAAATCCATGAGATTCTTATCTCCAATTAACTGTCAACACTTTAACCAGACCCGAGTTCAAGGTCTAGGAACAGAATGAAAACAAAACAAACAAACAAAAAAAACCAGAAATTATACACTCCCCTCCTCCACAAAATCCTATGTCCCCAAATAGCTTCCCCTACTCTTATTAAATTCATCTAATTCATATAGAAGGAAGTATATACCACTGTATAACAACTATTATCTCTGGTTTGTGAAATTACAGGTAACCTTTTTGTTAATAGTCCCTAAATATATTACACACACACACACCTTATTAAAATTTCTTTTTTATTGAACACAGTAACATTTCTGAAATCTGAGTATTCAGGAGGACAAGGTAGGAGATTATAAATTCAAGACCAGCCTGGCTACATAGTGAGTTTCAACCCTGCTTGGACTATTCAGTGAGACAGCATCTTAAAAAAATAAAAATAAGGGCTGGGAAGGTGGCTCAGTGGTAGTGCTTGCCTTGCATGCATGAAGCCACGGGTTCAATTCCTCAGCACCACATAAGCAGAAAAAGCTGTAAGTGGTATTATAGCTTAAGTGGTAGAGCACTAGCCTTGAGCTGAAGAGCTGAGGGACAGCGCCCAGGCCCAGAGTTCAAGCCCCACAACCATCCTCTCCCCCCCACCCAAAAAAAAAGCAACAACAACACAGCCATGTGTCAGTGGCTCATGACTATAATCCTAGCTTTTCATTAGGCTGAGATCTGAAGATGACAGTTCAGCCCAGCCAGAAAAATCCATGATACTCATTTCCAATTAATTACCATAAAAGCCAGAGGTGGAACTGCTAGTGTGCTAGCTTTGAGCAGGCCTTGCTTGAGTTCAACCCCCATTCGACTTAACTTCACAAAACTTTGAAACTGTATTTAGACAATTAACTTCCTTCTCTCATCCAAGTATTAATCAGGCCCAACCCTGCTGGGCTTCTGCCATCAGAAGAGAATGAAGACAATCAGGGCAGAGTGGCAGTAGCCTTTTTTCACTCTGGACAGCTCACTGGACAGCTCTGTCACAATGAGCTGTCATGAATAATTTCGTTCAATCTACTTCTGGAAAACCTGTAAATCTTCCCTTGACTTGAGTTCTTATCTAGTTTTATCACTACCCCCAGCCATCCAAATACTTTCTAATCTCACAGAATTATTTTTTGTAAAGGAAACTCTGATTCCCTGATTTCTACATTTGAAAACTTCTTGCAGTCAAAGGAAGTATAATCTATTTACTTGAGCATTAATTATTTAATTAATATAAATTCCATCACAATTTGGTCTGGGCTTATGTCCTGCCCCCTTTGGTCCTCCATGCATAATAACCTCCAACTCCAGAGAGTTCACCATTTCATAGCAAACTTCTCTACATGCTGCTACTTTTGTATAAAACTTCACCCTTCCACCTTCTAGTGAGTGAGGTCTTTCTTATCACTCACTCTGGAAGTATTTCCTTAATTTCCCAGACCAGATACAATTGCACCCTTATTTTCTCACAAAATCTTGTTCATGCCTTCATCTAGTTACATCACGCTGTTACAACTGTCATGTCAGACTTACAGTGCTTTCAGTGCTGGGGATCACACCCGTGACTGTGTATTCTAGACTAGCACTGAGCTCATCCTCAGCCTTGGGTTTACATAGCATCTTGCTTTTATAAAGCTCAGGCTAGCCTGGAACTCACAATCCTCTGAGGCTCAGCCTCCTGAGGCTGAGGATTTCAGCTATGAACCACAATACTTGGATCCCCACCTGCTCTAAAGACATTTCTGCTGAATAACTGAAAACCAAAGATTTGACCAAAAAGTAAACAAAATGACTCAAAGTTATGACATATATTCCTGAAGACCTTAACCTGATTTTTGTCATCACACTAAAAAAAGTATCCCATAATCCTAGGATTCCTAGGATCCTAACAGCCAATTGTGTTTGCCCAAATAATTTTTATTTTTGTGCTGGTCCGGGGGCCTCAACTCATGGCTATTCCTGAGCTTTTCATGCGCAAAAGCAGCACTCTACCACTTGAGCTACAGTGCCACTTCTGGCTTTTTGGTGTTTAATTGGAAATAGTCTAATGGATTCTCCTGCCCGGGCTAGCTTTGAACTGCAATCTCCAGTTCTAGCATTACAGGCATGAACCATCAGCATCTGGCTACCCAAATAATTCTGAACTCAGGTCCTTGTTTCCCCACTCAGCTGTTTCACAAGGTCGGGACTCTACCACCTGAAACACACCTCACCTCCAGTTCCCATTGTTTTTCAGTTGGTCATGGGGCTGGGGCACTATCCCCTAGCACTCTACCATTCTGAGCCACAGCGTCATATCCAATATTCTGGTGGTTAACCAGAGATAAGAGTCTCATGGACTTTCCCGGCTGGGCTGGCTTTGAACCATGATCCTCAGATCTCAGCCTCCTGAGTAGCTAGGATTACAAGTGTGAGCCACTGGGGCCCAGCCCCAAGTAATCATTTTTCAAAGGTGGCAAAAAGCTTTCAAGAGAGTAGAGAGGGAGATCTTACCTCGAGGGAAAATCCCTGGGTCCATAAAGGTGGCCATGCTGAAGTTGGCCAACACAAAGAGAAACATAATTGCATTGTAGATGGGCACTGCAGGTGACACATACAGGCTCAGTCCTGGACACCTGTGCACACAAGAAAATGAGGATCTGTCTGTAATATACTGCACACCAACTTTACTCACAAAACTCTGTAAAGACACAGACCCCAACATGTAGTTTACCTTTCTCATGCCAACTTTTTACACAATTCTTCCCAAGTGGCTCAATTTCCCACAAAATGACTTTTTTTGGATCAAGGTATTGGTATCTGTTCAATATTAACCCTTTTCATCTGTCTGTGTTACTCAGATTCATTCTTCCTTTGTGGTTATTTCCATGTTTTGGAATGTATCCTCATCTCCTTACTAACCAGACATGAGAACTAGGGACTATGTAACTGACACCAGCTACACTGCCTATTCTGGAGCAGCCCAGGTTCTTGGACTCCAGCCATGTCCCACTGACCTGCACACTGGCCCAAAGCATGAGACACCACCTGCTTCTCTGACTCCCCTACTCCTTCCCAGCTGGCTTTCAATCTTATTCAACTGTCTGGAATTCTTCGCTGTGTTAAGTATTCTTGAAATTTTTACTCAACTGGAGACTTTTCAAGGTTGGGAAGTGTGTGTGAGTGTGAGAGAGAGAGTGAGAGAGAGAGAGAGATTGATTCCTGACTTAAACTCAGGGCCTTCTTGCCCTTCTTGCTCAAGGCTGGCACTCTACTACTACTTGAGCAACACGTGCATTTCTGGCTTTTTTTGCTAATTAACTGGAGACAAAAGTTTCTCAGATTTTTTTCTGCTCAAGCTGCCTTCAAACTGTGATCCCCAGATATCAGCCTCCTGAGTAGCCAGGATTATAAGCATGAGAAATTTTTTTAAAACACAAATAAGCATGGTCATCAAGACAGAGAACTAAGCTGGGCATGTGGCATATGCTGACAATTCCAGCTCTTAAAAAGCTGAGGGGAAGCCCAGAGCTGGTGGCTCACGCCTGTAATCCTAGCTACTCAGGAGGCTGAGCTCTGAGGATCACAGTTCAAAGCCAGTCCAGGCAGGAAGTCCATGAGACTCTTATCTCCAATAAATCACTAGAAAACTGGAAGTGGCACTGTGGCTCAAGAGGTGAGCTGAAGAGCACAGGGACAGCACCCAAGCCCAGAGTTCAAGCCCCACGACTGACCAAAACAAAACAACAACAAAAAAAAGCTGAGGGGCGGAAAAAAAGCAGCAGCTGAGGAGCTGGGCACTGGTGGCTCATGCCTAAGGTCCTAGCTACTCAGGAGGACTTACAGTTCAAAGCCAGCCCAAGCTGGAAAGTCTGTAAGACTCATCTCAATGAACCACCAGAAAACCAGAGGTGCTGTAGCTCACAGTGGTAGAGTGCTAGCTTTGAGCAAAAATGTTCAGGGAACAGCACTGAGGCCCTGAGTTCAAGCCCCACAACCAACAAGAACAACCACGCGCACACGCGCGCGCACACACACACACACACACACACACACACACACACACAGGCTGAGTGAGGCAGGATTCTGAGTTCAAGAACAGCCTAGTCTCTGTCTGAAAAATAAACATCTGGACACTAATGGTTCATCATCCTAGGAAGCTGAGATCTGAAGATCAATAATTCAAAGCCAGCCTGGGCAGCAAAGTCCATGAGACTCTTATCTCCAATTAATCATCAAAAAGCCGAAAGTGGAGCTGTGGATCAAGTGGTAAGTTCACTAGCTTTGAGCAAAACACTTCAGGGACGGTGTCCAGACCCTGAGTTCAAGCTCCAGGACTAGTAAAAAACAAAAAACAAAACAAAAAAACAGAGAGAGAAACAAAACCCTCTTACATACACATATCTAAAATGGAATGAAGGAGTGAGGGAGGAAGAAACAGAGGATATCAAAGAAGCCCTAAAATCTTATAGGAAAAATGACTGACAAAACATATCCAGTGTTCTATAATATTCAAATCATGAAGCATGCTTTAGACAACTTTTCCTTGACTCCCCCTCCCTCTGGAAAAAAAGTACTCCTGTCAAGGATTAAGCTCCAGTTAGTTCAGGATGTGAGTTCTAGTAGAAGGGCTTCTTTAGCACTTCCTTTTTTCTGCTAATTTCCTAGAAGTCTAAAGTTTCAGAACTTCTGATGTGAATCTAACTTTGTCAGTAGTATCAGTCTCAGCTCAGTAAGAACTCCAAGATAGTAGTTAAATACCCTAATCTGCTTTGTGGTTGAGAACTTAATCTCCAGAATCGGGACAACATCTGTCCTGGTCTTCCTTAATCTGAGCCAGTCGGAAGAAAGGAAAAGTTCATCAAAGAGAGGCAGGGGTCAGTGGAAGAAATTAGCTTGTGAATCTAGAGAACTAATCCACAGTAGTCCTGTATTCTGTCAAGAAAGATATGTCCCCACCCAAATGAAAAGCATAGCCCTAAATAGTGATCAAGGAGAGTCTGGAAGCACTGGGCCCAGTAACAAGATACAAACAAGCCCAAGATAAGAGACTAAGCTTCACAAAGCATATCACAAATCTCTACAACCACCATTTTTCCATATTCCACTCAACCATTGATTTTTTTTAATTTAATACTATGTGTGTTGCTTTTAAGATAATAAATAACTAGCCAACTCTGTGCTTCACTTGATAGGACAGTACCTAATTGGGGAACGAAGTAATGGAGCTAGAGTGGAGACCAATTTCAAATACACAACAGATCTTCCGTCATGCCTACACTAACATCAAATAACATCTCCTCTTCGGTGAGTTCTTTGGTTCATAAAAGAGATTCCCATACCTTGCAATGGCTTGAAGTAGAATACAAAGAGTCCCTACATAGTCCCACCCTAAAGCCTGACCTCCCAGGTTCCTCAGGAGGGAGAGAGGGAGGGGGAGAAACTGAAAACCAGTCATCCAGGTCACAGCCCCTCCCTAGGACTAAGCAGTCGATTCAATTTCCGCCTGGGGAAGAAGAGAAAGGGTGACTCACTTCACTCCTACAGCTGGGAAGATAATTAGAAGGGAAAAATAAAATTAAATCCTTAGAACATGATGGTGCCATGACTTAAAATTCCTACAACCGGCCACTGTGGCTTCTTGAGCTTCTAAACAAAAGAAGCAAAGCTGCCTTCCCCCACACAAGGAATCTAAAGTAAGAATGATCTTTCTGATCCCACTCCTGATTCAGTTTCATTTCTAAACAAAACTCACCCAGTGTTGGGTATTATGCCAACCTTCTCCTGAATGATGAACTTTACCCCTACAGCCTTCTTGATAAAAACCTATCCCAGCTATGTGTGTAATCCTGGAACTTAATTCCAATACCAGCTGATAAAAATAAAGTTGATATCCCTACGATGGCAGAATCTACAAGTGACACAAATAACATTGTGAACAGTATTTGCTCCTACACTGGGACCTACTGTTTCTAACCTTAGTACTCTAGTTGAGGAAACACTTTACCAAGGAAAGGCATGTGTGAGCACAGCTTATTCATATCACATCCCATATTCTGCTTGCCTAGAAAAGACTTTCCATTGCTTTGGTGCTCTACCAGATTCCTGGTGACCACCCTAAGTGGCCTGTCTGAATCTGTTCTTTGATGGAGGGAGATGCGGCCAAGAGTTGTTGGGGCCTGTCCTCAGCCTATAGCAATAATCATAGAGCAGAACAGCTTAGGGAGTGGCCTTCGCTCCGAAAGGCAACTGACTCATTGATGGGATTTCCAGACCTAAACCATCCCAAGTAGAACAGGTTCTTCTGCCCACCATTCAGTGCAGTTTCCAAGGCCAAATCAAACTGTGAAAGGGGTTTCAATATCCACATTCTCAAAATCCTGTTTCCTAGGCCTCCTTAACACTTCCAGTTACAGTTAGGTTCCTGGGAAGAAAAAGTACCCTGTCTCCATTAATGTTTCGGTTAGTATCCTTATGTAATCCACAGCAAACTGTCAGGCTTCTTACACAGCTGCACGCTAGGAATATGAAAATAAAGGAGACTGTCTGAAAAGATAATAGAATTCTTTTTAAGTCAGCTGGCTTAGTACAGAGCATTTACTGGATAGAACACAAACAGAAATATAAGTGTGTGTTTGTGTATATAATGTATATGTATATATATCACTACCACCATCAATTACCACTCATATATATCATCACCCCATCAATTATTACTCAGCTCCACTATCAACCTTAATTCTACTTCCCCTGAGGTCCCAGTGATTCAAGGACATTTAAAACAGAGGCACTAATCTCCTAAAGAATAGGTCTATACATTCCACCCATGCCAAGTATATTAGCTGAGCAGATGACTAGTGGTTTTTGTTGATGAAACAGGCTGGAATAATGCCCTATTTCCTGCCCATAGCGATCTTCATCTAGGACTGCTTTCTTCAAGATGGGAAAACATTTTCTCCCTCTATAGATGGGTAAGTTTCTCTTAAAACCCTTTTTTTTTTTGGTGGTGCCTCTATAACCTAGACTTTCTGGCAGCTGAATGCTCTATGTAGGTAGGGCCTGGGCACTTATTCTAGATGAGAAAACCATGTGGGAAGGAAAGGAAAAAGCACTACTCAGTTAATGCCCTAGATCACAAGGCTGCTCCCACTCAAATCAGGTGCTAACACCTCTACAGCTGTGAGGGGAAAAAAAAGAAAAGAGAGCCACTGAGGTTGCCCAACTCTAAAAAGAGCTGGAAGGGGCCAGAGGCAGAAACCCAACGCAAGCAAGATGTACCACCGCTGGGACACTGGTCACACCCATGTGGAGTTCTTTCCAGACTACTCTGATTTTTAATCCTACCCTTAAAAGGACTATTTGAACCAGAGATCTTTCTCCTACTGGCTCCCTCAACTGTAAAAATGGACAAACTCACAGCTACAGGAAACTTTAGAGAAGATTAACTTTGTGATTTCAGACAATGTTGTCAAGAGCCCAAAGAAGGTCCAGGTACCCCAGGAAGGCAAAGAGGAGACCATCATCAAGTTACTAGAGCTCCATGAAGCTTCATGTGAACCACAGTAGTTCTAATTTTTGTCTCATAGAGTTCCACATTAAGATATTATGTACAAAAGGATCAGGATGCTTAAACAAACTCCTCTAGGTCAACTTCCTCATAGAGAAGAACTAAGCTCCACAAAGATTAGTAGACTTTACCAAAATCAGTATCCTAAGGCCTAAACAGTATGACTACTCTTAGTTAGCATTATCCCTGCTGTTCACAAAGACTAAACCATGATAGAAAACCAAGATACATGATTTTAAATATGGAGTCATCAGGACCTAACTGGGAAAGGGTGGATTATTTTAGCAGATCCTCTGTTACAAACAGTGAGGAGGTAAATGATTCAGACAAGAGCCACACCACTCCTGCTTAGTTTTAGTACTGGACAAATTCATTGACTGAATGGGACTAGATACGGCTCTGTGGAGAGGGTTTCAATGGCTGAATTCTCGAGAGCAGAAGATCACTATTTCTTTGACAAACAAGCCCAATTGGTAATTCTTCCGCTCATTGCTTTCCTTACTTGACAAAGAAACATGGAGGGTAAATTGTTCTAATTAGTTGTAGCCTACATGCCTCCACTAATTATGTCTGCCAACTGAAAGGGATTCTTCCTCCTACTCCTCTAGGTCCCACAGTAATTACCTGGGGTATAGACTGATGTAAGAGTAGTTACTGGTAGCCTAGTGAAGAGAACAGGATAACAGAGTTGTTGCAGAGTCAAGGCCCTATATAGGAGCTGCTCTAAAAGAGCCTCTCTTTTGCCTCTCCATTTGAAACTCAAGCTTTTTATGCCTGTATGGTTTTAAATGGTATTTTCCAAGGAACTGAACCTCAAAAGGTTCCTTCCCTCCATGGGGAGAAACAGATCTTAAGAAGCTGAATGCCTCAGCCCATATACAAGCTTCAAGAGACACTATGGTCAGATGGAAATGAGATAGGACTATCAGGGATACTGAAAGTTAGGTGATATATATATATGGTAAGGTAAATAGGTATTTATGACTTCACAAAGTAAACAGGTGAGACCTTAAGGAGAAAAAGCAACTTAAAAAAATTGATCCTGTGGAAACTAATGCCAGGAGGAACTTCAGATATAAGGCTCTTCTAAATTCCAAATAGATTCAATAAGTTTCTCCAAAATCTTTTTTCAAGGGGCTGAGAGACAATAAAATAAGGAAGCCCTCTACTGTACTGTCACCAGAGAATGAGAAAGTAGGTTAAATAGCTTCAATTATCAGCTGAGAAAATGCCTATGCCTATGTCAGAGCAACTCTTTGTGGGCAAACTGGTATAACCAGCCAAGCAGTTCACTGGTTCCAGATTAACAAATTAGGAATAAGGATTCTACATGTTCTATCTCAAGAACAGCTTGAAAGAGAGAAAACACTTCCTTGAAGTTCAATTTTAGCTTCTTCAAATACTTGGCTTTCAAAATAAAATAGATCCTCCTCAACCAATCAGGTCTAAGGGTATCAAACTGATCTAGTACATACCACTCCTGATCTAGTACCACAAGACTATACTTTGGTTAAATTTTTTAGTATGCATACTGGCAAAATGGCAAAATCAAAACAAGTTCTGAGACTTTTTGTAACAAATGAACAAAGAATAAAATACTGAACATACTGAGCTAAAAAGGAGAAAAAAAATAATGAAGGAAGAGAAGGTAAAGAAAGAAAACCAGCAAGGCTCTCTCTAGATTCTTGAGGGATCTGGCAAGGATGCTCAGACTGCTTAGCTATGGACCAAAAGTCTGTGACTTCTACAGTTCAGAGGAGGAAAATAGGAAGCAGAGTGATGTCCGTGCATTAGGTAGTGATTCACTGTTTCCTTGTTTAAAAGACAAGATCAGATAGACACCTGGAAGATGGAGGCAGGAAGATTATACGTATGAGGGCAACCTGAGCTACAGTAAGACTCTTATGTGAAAAAACAAAACAACAAAAACCTAGAGATATATCGAGTCAGCATTTTGTTGACTCAGCCAGGCAGCCCACATCTTTTAGAATGCCTTTTGGCAAGCTGACATAGTAGTGGACACACCTCTAATTCCAACACTCAGGAAGTGGAACAGGAGGACTCTTGAAGAGTTCAAGGCCAGCATGGGCTAGGCTACATAGCACGGCCTTGACTTGGAAAAAAAAAAAAAACAACCCTTTGACACCTGAAGCTTTTGGAAGCTCAGATTTACTTTCTATGTAACTGTTCCCATCGCACAATCCCAACAATTCTTATTTCAATGAGCCCAAACTTCTTTAATTTCCTACCACTTCAGTTTTCTTCCTCTTCCAGCAAAACTGTTGCTCTCAACAGTACCTCACAATTAGGTGTGAGCCTGAACCTTGTCAAGATGAACTTCCCAGATCTTACATGCTCTAGTTGTTCCAAGAGCTGTAACTAGAGTGCTAACTCAATGACACAACAGCACAAGGCTCGGAAGCTTGGAACGGGTTCATTTACAAAGTAGTAACAACAAAGATGCTTGCCAGGCGGCTGATAGGTACAATACTGGAGATGAGAGAAAGGGCAAACCATCCGTCTCCTCTTCTAGTAACAACTAGATGAACAAGGTGTTAAGATTCCAGATGAGAATGATGCAAGTCCTAGACTCTTGAAAGTGGAAAATCTGCTAATGCTAACCAGTTTATCCAGCTAGACCCACAAATAGGAAAAGTACTCCAATTCCCTTTACTAACATAAAGGGACTCTTTTAGGACTCTTCCTAAATAAAACTGTTCTTTCCCACTTGCCTTCACTTCTCCAGGCTTTAAAGAGTTCAGAGAAAAAAATTGGAATATGAAAAGTCAAATCGGTCTCAGCAGTGCGTATAGTTTATAAATCAGTTCTGAAACTCTTCAGTACTCGGTCTGCACAATCTCAGACTCAAGGTTCAGACATCCTAAGGAAGAGCCACTACTATATAAAAGACTGAAGTCCACTCTGGCTCTCCTTCTCTCACAGAACTGATTGCTTACACTGCTTCAAATCACTCTGAAGGTTTCTCTGTTCGTCCTCCCTAGTTTAGGATCACCTAATGGAGTTGGGCAGAAAAATATGAAAACATCCATGATTCCAAAGGAAGGGAGGAAGGGGAAAGTAGAAGCTTCAACAGAGTATAATTTATAACAATGCTAAAAGGATAGGACATTCTCACTTTACATGTTTGGGGTTCACCTGGATCAGAAACCAAGTGTGCTCAATCACTCAGGCTTTGCAAGTAACTAGCAAAACTCACAAGAAAACAGTCCTCCCTTCCCACAGGGTGCTCCCCCAAACACACACCTCCTCCCCCAAATACCACTACTGGGAGAAAACTCACGTAAAGGCAAAGAAGAGTGTTGTAGCTCCCACTAAAAAGATGGCGGCTGCTGAGACCGGGACATACTTGCTGGGTTTGAATCTCTTTGCAGACTCTGAGGGCATGTTGGAGCTCTGATGGGAGATCTTCCCTGCCGCATAGCCCAGACCCACAGAGGCAGAACAGACAAGAAAATGGGATGAGGGAAACAACAGAAAGGAAAGAAACTAGGGAAAACGGAGAAATTTAAATTATCACCCTTCCCCCTCCCAAATAAAACTGAAAGTCAGAAGATCTCAAATGAAGGAAAGCACATGGGAGGGGGAAAGGTGATTTCAAATGATGAAAAACCACCGCCCCAGAACAAAACAGAAGGGGAGGTTAAGAAACACAACTTGTACAGTTTAAGAATTGAAGACAAACAATAGGCTGAACACATGCAAATCGTTGCAGGTAGATAACACGGACAGTCAGACAGACCAAGATATAGCTCATGGATGAAGGCAGGTATTCAAAAGGAAAGAATATCAGGGTAGGGCAGAAAACTTCAAGCAAGGACAACTTCTTTGCTGAGGAGATACAATAGTACCTCCACAGCTACCACACTGCCACAAAATAAGAGCTGCACCTAAAAGAGGTGTGCCCTGTGTTTCTATTTTAATCCAAGGAGGGACCTGGAGCTCCTTCTAGCTTTAAAGAGAAGCTGTTTTTACTGCAGTCCTTGCTCCTTTTAGGCAGTCTCTCACACCTTATCTTCACCAGTGCTTGTAGTCTGGCAACAGTAGTTAATTTTATTTATTTCTCTCTTGATGGCCAAGGCTGGACAACAGCTGTTACACAGTCCAGTTGTAAATCCTTTTCTTTGAAGGAGGAGAGAAAACAGAGACAGCAAGCTTGTCTGTCTTCAATCTCTTCTTCTTCTCAAACCTTTTAAGGGCTCCGTTCCCTATAGAGTTCATGCAAAACTAAAGGGAAAGTTAAAATCCTTGAAGCCATGTTCTTCTCAGTAAGCAGAGTAAGATGAAAAAGTTCCACTTGATGCTTGAAAAAAATTAATGTGGATAAGAAAAGCAAAGTTCCAATGATGTTCCAGCTTCCAGGTTAGTCAATATCTCTGAGCTTTTTGCTTCTCTCCTGGACTTCCTGGATGCCGAGAGTTCCACTGGATTATAGTGCTTCACCTGGAGAAAATTAAATATCTTGATCAAAGAAATTTTTCAAAGCATTTCTTAAGAAGACAAAGGCTAGCCAGGTGCAGATGGCTCATGCCTATAATCCTAGCTACTCTGGAGGCTGAGATAGGAGGATCACAGTTCAAAGCCAGCCTGGGCAGGAAAGTCTGTGAGACTCTTATCTCCAATTAGCTACCAGAAAACCTGGAGTGGGGCTGTGGCTCAAGTGGTAGAGTGCTAGCCTTGAGCTGAAGAGCTGAGGGACAGCGCCCAGGCCCAGAGTTCAAGCCCCTCAACCAACGAGGAAAAAAAAAAAAAAAGGACAAAGGCTGAAATTCAATCCCACAGGCTACTCTGAAAAAGTGTCTTTTGAAAGAAAAGATTATTTTTCCATTCCACTTACACATAAAGTGGAAAGACCTCTGAATATGGAGGAAAACTGATTTAAAACCCTTTACCTCTCTGAGTGCTCCTAAGATTGGAAGAAGGAAAATATGGCTTTATCTGGCCTCAAGTCATCAAAGGTCTAGTTCTCATACAGAACCCATCTTACCTGACACAAAAGAACAGCAACAAAGGCCAAGAATATATATTCTTTTCAAAAAAAGCACAGCAGTAAAAGGCAATTCTAGAGCTAGGATTTCTCGTTGGACAAAGAGAGTATTTATTGCTACATGAACATGTAACCTCAAAAGTAGGGCAGAAAATCTTATAACTGTCTCTTTTTCTTACCCTTTATTTAGCTATAACCCTAAGAGGCAGAAGTTAAATTTCTGGTCTCCTGGGATTATCTATAAAGGGACCTGGACAAGAAATAATCTTCTTCTCAAAGGTAAAATGCCCTCTATGAAAAACAACAACATAGAAGTTGGTCCTTTTCTTTCCAACTCAATAGTTTTTTTAATTTCTACAATGGCCTATTAGGAAGTAAATTGAGCCCCGCCTAACACAGTATGATTAAGAGTAACAATTATTTCTGTTGACAATAGTAGTAAAATAACACTGGCACCTTGATTTTATAAGATGCTTTTCATCTGGTGATCTCAAAGCACTTTTCTCACATTATCTGGTGACAGAGTCCCTTATCCAACTAGGTAAAATTGAAGGTTGGAGACTGCCTGAGGCATTCCTCTGAATCACCAGCAGCCAGGTTCACATGCCCCTTTGCTGACACAATCCCTTTCTACCTCATTCTCATCCACTATACGACAAACCCAATGATAGAACTTAGAATCTACAGACCAATATTTTACTTAAATTAGAACTTGAAAAGTTTGTTTTTTCTTGTGTGTGTGTGGCAGATCTGGAGCTTGAACTCAGTACCTGAGCACTGTTCCTGAACTTTTTTTGCTCATAACTAGCATTATACCACCTAAGTCACAGCATCACTTCTGGTTTTTGTTTTGGTTTTTTTTTTGGCGGGGAGGGAGTGATAATTGGAGATTAAGAGTCTCACAGACTTTCCAGCCCAGGCTGGCTTCAAACCTAGATCCTCAGATCTCAGCCTCCTGAATAGCTAGGATTCTCTGGTGCCTATGAGAAATTGGAAAGTTTTATTCCTCTCAAGCAGTCTAATATCAAAGGTAGATACTGAAAATACCAGCAGGTCCAGATAGCAAAAAATAAACATGCTCTGAAATTTATCACTTCCTCTCTCACCTGTGACATGAGTACAGGCGCCTTCCTTCAAGATTCAGCATCTCTCCTTAACAGGATTTCAGAAGGCCAAACAGCAATATTAGAATGAAGTCCCAGAGATTACAAGAAATTGTTAGCATCCTAAAAAAGATAGATCCTCTTTAGTCCCCGATTCTATGGTTATGTCTCAGTGTCTTATGGGAAACAAAGTTCAACTTTCTATGTTTAGACTTAAGTAACTTTTAACAAAGAGGAAGCAAAGTCTTGGTCTATAGACAGTACTATTAAATGTTTCCCTCAAACCCCCAAAATTACAGAAGATGGGAACTTACACTACTTAAAGTAGTGTAATCCTGACACTACTACTGTCAGGATATCATTTTGAACCATATACTATTTTGGATTATGTTTTCAATAGGAAAAAAAAAGCCACCCAGGCTAATCTTGCCATACTAAGACAGTCATGGAAGGCCATACAATGTTGAAGTACAATACTGGCATACAGAGGAGATTCAGCATCTGAGCTGTTCAGAGGACAGACATTACAAGGGACAAAAACCTAACAATGTATTAGGTATAAATACACACACAAGTGTTACTTAGCAAGAGGATAAGACCAAAAGGGTGAGTGTGGCTCATCAGTCACACTCTGATGGACGCCTATCAGTAAAGTGTACAAGAGTGGATATGACTTATTTAGGCAGGGAGGAAACTACAGGATGGAAATAGAAAATACAGGAAAGGTAGTTTGAAGGCTTTAATGAGATTGTATGAGTACTTCCTTAAAGGAGTAAATAAGCACGAGCAGAACACTCTTGCTGAGATAAATTATTGTTAATAGTACAGCAAACTGGAATACATAGTAATAAAGGTGACATGGAATAGTCCACATCTAGAGTTTAGTGTAAATGACATTGTCATAAGAGACTGAGTTGGCAAAGTACATGGAAATATAGTTCTTACATATAAATATTAAGGAGGGAGGTTAATAGGTGAAGATAAGATTTGATACAGAGCAGAGGGATATTGGGATAACAGGATGGAGATGCAAATCAAGATTTAACCAGGGCAAAAACTCGACGCTAACCAAGAAGTGGGGGGGGGGGGAGGACGACTGGAAAAAGGTCTACAACATGGGATATACTTAACACAGACTTGATTCTACAACAACTGCTCGCAGGAACTTTACGTCACTTTCTTAACTTCCCATTTCAGAATCTTCAGTGGGCCAAAGGAGATAAAAACACTTTCACCTCCCTGCCCGACGGACAGATTCTTCCTGTCGGTGAAATGACGGGCAGACACCCCACACAAGCTCTGCTCGTTTAAAAAAGAAAAGTACGAGGTCCTGGGCTCAGGGAGCCGGCAGCCCAGGGGGGGCCGGAGGAGGAAGCGGGTGGGGAGGAGGGAGCAGGTAAAGAGGCTGGAGCCGCCGCCGAGGGGGCCGAGGGGAAGCGGAGCTGGGGCGCAGGAGCCTCCACGCCATGGGGCAGAGGTGACCACCGCGGTGCCGGAAAGGACGGAACGGACAGCGCCGGGGCCCGGCAGGACCCATCGGGACGCCGGGAGCGGGCTGCGGCGCGTCACCCCTCGGGCCGGGGGGCCCAAGGAACGGCGGCGGGGTGCCAGGTCCCGGCCTCGGACCCGGTCAGGAGCCGGGCAGCCCGCTCCGACTCCAGGCGGCCCTTGGGTCAGCGATCTCCGCTCGTCGTCTGTCTCGGGGCCCTCGGGTCCTGCCGCCACAGTCGGTCGGATAACCCCGGCCCCCGGGGGGGGGGGCAGGGATGGGGCCTTAACCTCTTCTCCCTCCTTGGTCCCCCTTCCCTAGAGGTCACTCTCCCCTCCCACCTCAGTGTCCCAGCACTTCCGGTTCCGCAGGGGCCGGTGTCTCCGGTACTCACCCCCCCCTCCGTCACCACCGCCGTCGTTGTCGTCGCCGTCGCCGCCGCTGCCGCCGCCGCCGCCGCCGCCTCCCGGCAGTGCCGTCCGGCCTCGCAGAGGCAGCGCGCGGCCCCCGCACGCTCCACGCCCGCCCCGCTCCCGCGCGCTCCCGGCCCGCCGACGCTCGTCTTCGAGCCGGCGCGCGGCCGTTGCCTCAGTGCCGGGTCTCGGGCCCTTTCGGCAATCCCATTGGCTCTCTAGCTCGGGAGCGCGCGACGTCTCGCGCGGGGCACGTTCCTCTCATTCATGCGGCTTGCGCCGCCGCGCCCGCCCCCGCTCACACACCCATTCACCCACAACCCCCACCCCCACGCCGCTCTGGGGCGTGCGCGCGAACCCGAGCGACCGCGGCGACCTCGCGTTTTGAGTGGCTGCGGGGAGCACAGCGCCCGCCCATACGTACGCGGTGGGGAGGGGGGGAGAGGATCGCGGGAGCGCGCGCGTAAGACCGCCGGGTTTCGCAGACGACCTGGAGGAGGAGGACTGGCCAACTACGCAGGGGTCGCGAGTGAGGCAATGGCCAGACGAGGCCTCCTGGTCTTATTTTCTATTTCTCCTATGTCCAAGCAGAAACTTTTGGAAGAAGATTATACGTGTACAACCTGGGAGTACTCAGAAGCAAGCGGCTGCCTTCTAGAGTTTACGACACCCCCTCCGGATAGAGAGTGGTATGGTCCAGACTGACTTCTAACCTAACCAATCAACGCCAGGTCTCCTCGTCTTCCGGCTTCGTCCCTTCAAGCGCTGACCAATAGTGTGGGGGTAAATTGGCTTCCCTCCGCCCCCTTTTTTCTTTTTCTTTTTTAATGGCTAAAACTTTATTTAAAATAGTTTTGCTGGAGAAGTCTTCAGACGGGCAAGTTCCCTGGTCCCACCGAATCCCTGGGTGACGGAGTAGTCTGAGATCGGGCACTACAGGGAGGGGGCGCCGGCCTAGAAGAGCCAGTGTGTGGAGCAGAGGTCCTGCCCGGGGCTGGTGAGGAAAATGAAAAGGGAGGGCCATGGAGCCGCAGCGCCAGCCTCGAGATCTCCCTGCAATCCGAGATGAGTGGCGGTCCCTGCTACACCAGGAATGGCCGCCCGCATCCCTGACCTCCTCCCCTTGGCAGAATACCGGCTGCCAAGGTCTACTGGAATAGCTCCTGTCCCTGGCGAGCTGCTAGCGCTCCCTAGATCGCAGCGATCCATTTCGCCCTCATTAGCCCAAGACAGCTGAACCACACGTTCTCTCCTTTTTCAGCTCCTGGTCATTTCTCATTTGAAAGGATTACATAAGTAATCCTTAAAAAAAAAAAAAAAAGCGGCCTACCAGCTACTTCAGAAGTCCGAGGCCCCTCACGGCCTGAACCCTGTATTTTCACGTCTGGTTTCAAATGCTGATGGCTTAACTAGAGCTGATACTTTAGCAAAAAGAAACTTAAAAAAAAAATCTTCCTTCTGTGTTCTATGGTCTAGTCTGGCTCCTTCTCCGAAATGTTCTATATTAGTTCTACTTCATTCTTGCTATCAACTTCAATCCACCGTTGACTGCAACATATTTTTTTCTTTTTTTAAACTTTGAGATCATATGAAGTATAGATTTGAGATAGGATAATTTCTGTAGTTTTTTCTACTTGGAAGTCATGTTTCCTACATGAAGTCCAATGCTATTTTCCTCCTGGATATTTTTTCTTGGATTTTAAATTTTCTTCATTTCCTCCATTCCATAAACAAGGCATTTTTAGTTAGTACACATTAGTTGTACAAGGGGGGAGGTTTTCATTGTGACCTTTAATACATGCACACAGAATATCCCTCTCAAATTCATCCTGTCACTGGTGACAATCCTAAAATACTATCTTTCTCCTTCATTCTCTATTCACCAATGCTGCCCTTCCCCCAGCTTCTTTTTTTTTTTGGGGGGGGGGGCTTCAAGTCAAGGCCTATAACTCTCCCTTGGCTTTCCCACTCAAGACCGGTGTTCTACCACTTAAGCCACCCCTCTACTTCCAGCTTTTTAATGACTAATTGGAGATAAGAGTCTCACACTTTTCTTGTCCCAGCTGTCTTCGAACTGCAATCCCCAGATAGCAGCCTCCTGAGTAGATAGGATTACAGGCCTGAGCCACTGGCACCTGGCTAATAGGGATGTCTTTTGGCTGGACAGTGTTAAAGAGAAAAGGCCTGGTTGGCTAAAGAGGTACCGAACACCTCTGGGTTATTGGGAACCTTAGACAACTGGGTTGCCAGCTTGTTTTAGCTAGATGAGCACTGACAGTCATTATCCAAAGGTTTAGATTCATATTCTTGTATTACCATGCAAAGTATATTGTGGAAAGGATCTATTAGTAAAGCATAAGATTTAAACTGCTCAGGGGGTTCAGAAAATTTCCCCCAGCAAAACTCACTCAAAATATGCAAATGTTACCTAACTTAGTAACTTGTAACACTTTTATAACTTTAAAAAAGTTGTTTTTAAAAAAGACTTAAAACTGGGGCTGGGAAGGTGGCTCAGTGGTAGAGTGTTTGCCTTGCATGCGTGAGACCCTGGGTTTGATTCCTCAGCACCACATAAGCAAAAAGAAAAAAGCC